TCCTTAGGTTTTGTCCATGAGTGTATACACACTTGGTTATCTCGTGTGTCTTGAATAAAGGTCACTGTAAAATCTTTCAGAGTTATTGTCTCAATCCCGATATACATGCTAAAAGGTACAACTTCCTTAAGTTTTGTCCATGAGTGTATACACACTTGGTTATCTCGTGTGTCTTCAATAAAGGTCACTGTAATATCTTTCAGAGTTATTGTCTCAATCCCGATATGCATGCTAAAAGGTACAACTTCCTTAAGTATTGTCCATGAGTGTATACACACTTGGTTATCTCGTGTGTCTTCAATAAAGGTCACTGTAATATCTTTCAGAGTTATTGTCTCAATCCCGATATACATGCTAAAAGGTACAACTTCCTTAAGTTTTGTCCATGAGCGTATACACACTTGGTTATCTCGTGCGTCTTCAATAAAGGTCACTGTAATATCTTTCAGAGTTATTGTCTCAATCCCGATATACATGCTAAAAGGTACAACTTCCTTAAGTTTTGTCCATGAGTGTATACACACTTGGTTATCTCGTGTGTCTTCAATAAAGGTCACTGTAATATCTTTCAGAGTTATTGTCTCAATCCCGATATACATGCTAAAAGGTACAACTTCCTTAAGTTCTGTCCATGAGTGTATACACACTTGGTTATCTCGTGTATCTTCAATAAAGGTCACTGTAATATCTTTCAGAGTTCTTGTCTCAATCCCGATATACATGCTAAAAGGCACAACTTCCTTAAATTTCACCCATGAGTGTAATTAATCAATATAACTATGTATAGAAATACCATATAGACATTAGAAAAAGTTCCAAAAATCCCCAAACAGCCAACTTACAGTAAAGCTCCGACCCAAACAATTATCCCTAAACCGTGCGTACAATCATGTAATGGACCCACAGCTCCAATTGGACCTCTCCTAGGGAATTTGCATAATCTTCCCCGGTCATTAAATTGATTGTCTGTCCGACAAATAGCCATTGTCCCCACCTCTTGCATTCCTTTGGTTCTCTTCCTGTTTGTCCCCCTTCATTGTATTCCTATCTTCTGCTTAAGATTCCGTCTCATCTTCTGCTCATACCTATGGAATCTTCATTTTCTTTTGGTACCATATTTATAAACATAATACTTCAACAAAGTATTTATTAATTTTATTATTTTTATTAACAGAGTGGTCATTTTTATGTTTATTTTTTGCTACTCTGTGAATTTCCCTCGTGGCTTATCTTTTGTTTACCATTCATAGTTTTTTCCTTGCCTGAAATAAATTGTTATCTCCTCCTGAAGTTTTTGTCTTCCCTAATTTTCCACGGAAAAAAGGCATTTACTGATCGTACAACTGAAAGTTGCTGATGGCTTGTCCCATCTATCGGGATAAATATCACCTAATCGTTAATTTTTAATTATTCTAAAAATGACCAAATTTTCAGGATGCACCGAAGACCAAGTTTTTTTGGGTCGTTGAGGTACAGCTTGTACCACGCTGACGAGGGCCACCAGCCCGAAACGCGTATGTGGTTAGCTTTTCTTGATTAATCAAGAATGGGTATTTGGCCAATTCTGGAATAATTAAAAATAAAAGATTAGTTGATATTTATTCCGATAGATGGCGCAAGCCATCAGAAACTTCAGTTAAAAGATCAGGAAATGCCTTTTTTCTTAATTTATCTACCTGATCCAAGTACAAATTCACTTTTGTACTGTTTTTTACAGTACATTTATTAAATAAGACATATATTGGATTGAATATAAGATTTATTCGCCAATATTTCGGTTGGCGGAACGCCAACCTTTATCAAGACATTACATATAGGTTTATACAAATATGCAATGTCTTGATAAAAGTTGGCGTTTAGCCAACAGAAATATTGGCAAATGAATCTTTTATTCAATACATTATACAGTTAAACCTGTCTATAGCGCCTCCTATAAATAGCGCCTTCCATTCTATAGCGCCCGATTTTGAACATTAAAATGTAAACATTTTACGTTAAAAGTGACCTGTCTATAGCACCCCCTCTCTATAGCATCCTATTTTGGTAAGTCCCAAGAGTGGGCGCTATAGACAGGTTTAACTGTAGTACGATGCAATTTACATTAAAAGTGACCTGTCTATAGCATCCCCTCTCTATAGCACCCTATTTTGGTGAGTCCTAAGAGGAGGCGCTATAGACAGGTTTAACTGTAGTACGATGTGATTTACATTAAAAGTGACCTGTCTATAGCACCCCCTCTCTATAGCACCCTATTTTGGTGAGTCCCAAGAGGGGGCGCTATAGACAGGTTTAACTGTGGTACGATGCAATTTACATTAAAAGTGACTTATCTATAGCACCCCCTCTCTATAGCACCCTATTTTGGTGTGTCCCAAGAGGGGGCGCTATAGACAGGTTTAACTGTAGTACGATCTAATTTACATTAAAAGTAACCTGTCTATAGCACCCTCTCTCTATAGCACCCTTTTTGGTGAGTCCCAAGAGGGGGCGTTTTAGACAGGTTTAACTGTAGTACGATGTGATTTACATTAAAAGTGACCTGTCTATAGCACCCCCTCTCTATAGCACCCTATTTTGGTGAGTCCCAAGAGGGGGCGCTATAGACAGGTTTAACTGTAGTATGATGTGATTTACATTAAAAGTGACCTGTCTATAACACCCCCTCTCTATAGCACCCTATTTTGGTAAGTCCCAAGAGGGGGAGCGCTATAGACAGGTTTAACTGTAGTACGATGCAATTTACATTAAAAGTGACCTGTCTATAGCACCCCCTCTCTATAGCACCCTATTTTGGTGAGTCCCAAGAGGGGGCGCTATAGACAGGTTTAACTGTGGTACGATGCAATTTACATTAAAAGTGACTTATCTATAGCACCCCCTCTCTATAGCACCCTATTTTGGTGTGTCCCAAGAGGGGGCGCTATAGACAGGTTTAACTGTAGTACGATCTAATTTACATTAAAAGTGACCTGTCTATAGCACCCTCTCTCTATAGCACCCTTTTTGGTGAGTCCCAAGAGGGGGCGCTATAGACAGGTTTAACTGTAGTACGATGTGATTTACATTAAAAGTGACCTGTCTATAGCACCCCCTCTCTATAGCACCCTATTTTGGTGTGTCCCAAGAGGGGGCGCTATAGACAGGTTTAACTGTGGTACGATGCAATTTACATTAAAAGTGACCTGTCTATAGCACCTCCTCCCTATAGCACCCTATTTTGGTGTGTCCCAAGAGGTGGCGCTATAGACAGGTTTAACTGTAGTACGATGCGATTTACATTAAAAGTGACCTGTCTATAGCAACCCCCTCTCTATAGCACCCTATTTTGGTGAGTCCCAAGAGGGGGCGCTATAGACAGGTTTAACTGTAGTACGATGTGATTTACATTAAAAGTGACCTGTCTATAGCACTCCCTCTCTATAGCACCCTATTTTGGTGAGTCCCAAGAGGGGGCGCTATAGACAGGTTTAACTGTAGTACGATGTGATTTACATTAAAAGTGACCTGTCTATAGCACCTCCACTCTATAGCACCCTATTTTGGTAAGTCCCAAGAGGGGGCGCTATAGACAGGTTTAACTGTAGTACGATGCGATTTACATTAAAAGTGACCTGTCTATAGCACCCTATTTTGGTGAGTCCCAAGAGGGGCGCTATAGACAGGTTTAACTGTAGTACGATGTGATTTACATTAAAAGTAACCTGTCTATAGTACCCCCTCTCTATAGCACCCTATTTTGGTGAGTACCAAGAGGGGGCGCTATAGACAGGTTTAACTGTATATATTTTTATTATCTAATGATTTAAGTGTGGATTGCTCTATTTTCAGAACAAATAATACATTAATATTGTAGCAAAGTTAAACAATACAAGATGTTTCTCGGGATGAGTTTTTTTTTATTTTCTTAAATAGGTGGAAATTAAATTTGTAAATTTTATATGTACAATATTGTCGCGGAGATAAATAAAGCAGGGGCAAAATTGGAAATAATTAATTCTATTTACAGTTACGAGCGTCATTCTTCGTCGCCTCTGTCACGGTTTGCTTTTTTTTTTTTTTTGAAATAGCGCCCTCCTATTGGTCGGCTACGATCACGTCACCTTTGCCCCCCCCCCCCCCCACTCGCATTTTCGTATTTGTAACTATTGTGTTGGAGCGGGTAGCTCCTCAAATAAATGCATATATTAGTTAATAACCAAATGGAATCCTCTCTTTCTTTTTCCCAGTAAGAGACGCCTACGGAAGCCAACAGTACATAGACAGATAAAGCACATAGGCTATAGTTATTAACTAACATATGCATTTAATTAAGGCGCCAAATTATAATTGTAACAAATAGTATTTGAATCAAAACATTCACTCTGTTAAATCGACCGCCAGAGGTCACGCTTTGCATATAAAAACCCATTGTTGTTTCCCGATGGCCGGCTCAAATCTTTAGTACATTATGTAAATAAGTATTATTGTACTTTATTATCCGGGTTATTCGGCTAGTTTATTATAAAGGTGGGTGTTTACCTTTTAGTTCTCCAATAAAATTATATACAAGAATTATTTATAGGGAAAGAGAGTCAGATGATAAAAACAACTTATCCCCAGGTAAAGTCAATAATAATGAGCGGCCTCAGCCACCGTCCCGTTTTCCTTATTTACAGATCAGCTTCCGAGAACTCCTCAAACCTGTGGTCCCCCCGGGGTCCAGGGATGATTGACAGGTGTCCCATCTGGATGGAGCTTCTTGACAATATATATATTTAAAATACAATATAACGCGGCTTATGATTGTAAAAGGAAAATTGCAACTATACCGCGAATGTTTCTTTTAAACGAAAAATCGAAATTTATTTTAAAGAGAAATAGCGATTATTTCTAACTTTATTTCGATTTTTCGTTTAAAAGAAACATTCGCGGTATAGTTGCAATTTTCGTTTTACAATCATAAGCCGCGTTATATTGTATTTTAAATTACTTTATATAATATTTACGAACGGAAAAATATGGCCAGGGTAGCCTAGTGGACATGGCATCTGCCCGGTAAGCGGAACACTGTGGGTTCGATTCCCATCCCTGGTCACTTTTATTTTTCCGTTTATCATTACTCTTCACAATTCATCCTTTCATACTTCATCCCTAAGGTTAGAAATAATCGTTATTTCTCCTTAAAATAAATTTCGTTTTTTCGTTTAAAATAAACATTCGCGGTATAGTTGCAATTTTCGTTTTTTACAATAAATATATAAATTATTAAAAAGGCATCTCCTTATCGTGCAACTAAAAGTTGCTGATGTTTGCGCCATCTATCGGAATAAACTATTCTCGTTGATTTTTAATTATTCCAGAATTAGCCAAATACCCATTCTTGATTAATCAAGAAAAGCTAACCACGGACGCGTTTCATGATTTTTCAGGATGCCTTAATGAACAATTTTTTGGTCGTTGAGGTACAGCTTGTACGAGCTCGTACCACGCTGATGAGGGCCAACAGCCCGAAAGGCGTCGGTAGTTAGGTTTTCTTAATTAATCAAGAATGGGTATTTGGGCAATACTGGAATAATTAAAAATCAACGAGAATAGTTTATATTTATTCCGACAGATGGCGCAAGCCATCAGTAACTTTCAGTTACACGATAAGGAGATGCCTTTTTCTGAATGTGTTTTATTAAAATATTATTTTATTTAAAATTATATTCCATAGATCCAAATACTCTGTTAAATCGACCGCCAGAGGTCACGCTTTTCATATAAAAACCCATTGTTGTTTCCCGATGGCCGGCTCAAATCTTTAGTACATTATGTAAATAAGTATTTCATTTTTTTATTCTTACGCCTTAAGCCAGGCAGTACTTTTATCAAATTATGTATTTTATATATATTACTTTAGTTCAAATAAAATAATCTCTGATCAAAACTATTTGATTATTCAACCACGACTGCATTTCTCCATACCATAATCCTCAACATGATCTAAATTCAAACACAAAATCTAATTCATCTTTATTTATAACATATATATGAAAAAAATAAAAAATAATAATTATTAGAGATATATGAATATGGCATCTCTGCCACCGCTGCAGAATTTTGATGGAGAATTGCCAATATGTAAATACAATATATTTACATATTGGTTTAAAAGAATCAAGATTAAAATTGGTTTTCCAATAATTTTTATTAGCGAACAACCCTATAAAGAATCGTTGAAAGTAAAAAAAAAAACCAAAAGAATGAAAAGAAAGGAATTCTATTAAAGGAGAATACTTTAAACGCCACCTCTGTTGTCACACATAAGCCTAAACAGGATTGCTCTACCAAAAGAATTTCGAACGGAAGTCGTCTGCACGGTATTTATCGAGAATCTTTTGACTTTTAAATCTCATTACTTGTGTTTTTTTTTTTCTTCCGATAATTTATTTTATTGTATTCTGTGTAAAACTGTATTGTTTATTTACTAAGGGAAAGTTTTATTTACCTGCTGGTAACATAGAAATATTTATTTTTTTATTGTTTTTTTTTGACAATTAAACAACTTTATTGACATCTCGTCAATCTTTACACTCAAAGGGAGTTATAAGGTAATAATAATGGTAGGAATGAAGAGATATATACAATCGACGTAGCCCTCTCCGAGGGCACGTCCGGATCAGGAGCTTAAAGCCGCCTTGAATCTAGACAGATCCCTGCCATTTGGGGAGTTCGGAACATGTTTGATGATAATGTCGAAGAATTTGTCGAGAAGAATCTTGTCTTGAGGTGTGAGTAGCCCGAGGAGGTGCTCCTTTTCTTCTTCGTAATAGACCACGAGTATTCTTTAATGTTCTATTTATTATGTTATTCTTTTTTGACTAAGTACACTGTTTCGGATACGATCACTGCCTCACTCACTAAACTCGGAAAGCTTGCCACATCCTGGATATGTCTGGCCTTATCTAAATAGTTGTGTTGACTGTATCTTCTTGCCAGACTTCTTCTGGTCTCCAACTGAAGTCTATTTGGTTCTTTAAAAGTGTCCACAACACCCAGATGACACTAATAATTCACCAACACCTGATTTATAACTGACACACTTTTATTATATATCATTATATACAGAATTATATTTACAAATATAGATGGAAATTTTGCCGGGAGGAAATTAATCCATAGAAGTAATGGACGCCTCTCCCGTCAAAATAGATGTCAAAACCAGACGCCATCTATTGACCGTCGCCACAAACTAGCGGCCTCAGGTCGGTGACAAAGCCACAACACCAGCTTTGGTAAACTGAGAAGCGTCCACCTAGAGACCATGGTTTCTGGCTAATGGCCCTCGTCAGTCTAGGACGGACTTTATTCCATGAGATCCACACGGGATCTAATGGAATCTTCACAATCTACCAAAGAGGTGTTGTGGCTTTGTCACCGACCCGAGGCCGCTAGTTGCGGCGACGGTCAATAGATGGCGTCAGGTTTTGACGTTTATTTTGACGGGAGAGGCGACCATTGCTTCTATGGATTTACAAATATGTAAATATTCTGAATGAATATGCAAAAAAAAAAAAAAGAGAAATTTACATAACCGGCGTCTCCAAACACTATCTTTTGGAATAGTTAGATGTTTTATTCTATGTGTATAGAATATGGAATTATTCAGTCTTATTTATTTTAATTATATTTGCCCATTTTGTTGTTATATAATCAGCATGAACAAATTCATGAGAAGCTTGAAATCACAAGTTGAAAGATTTCTTTCAAAATTTTGATTATTTTGCCGAGTTTTCAAGCATTACTGTCCTTCCATTATAATTCTATCATTCCTTTATCTTTAAATGCAAATCTCCCAATATATGTAATGTATTATTTTTTCATGTGTTAAGCGTATTTACGCAAGTTTGACCTTAAATACCCATTTCTTGGTTTCTCAAGAAGCCTCTGGGACCAAAAATATTTTTGGTCGCAGTGTTACAGCCTACTCCACGCTGACGCTCCAGGTCCGATACATGTCCAGTGGCCACATCATGTCAAGGTTAACGTATCACAGAAAAGACCAGTGTGGAATCAGCCACGTTCTAGTCTTCACTTTCCTCATCCAAATGAACCACGCGGCGATTCTATTAATCTCCTCCTAACTGTAAATTCACACATATTTACATATGTAGAGACGCTACCGATAGACGTTCCTCCATCTTTTGCCACGTTCGCCATACATCATTTTCATGGAGAAAAGGAAAACATAAACAACAACAACAACAAAAAAGCCTTTATTTAGGGTCACTGACCCTATACAGGATTCACCAGAGGTATGCATAAGTACAAAGCAGTGAGACAACGGAAATAGCGATATATACAGAGTAAAAAGAGAAAGAAAAAAAAAAAAAAAACAAGAAAAGGAAAAAAAAATAATAATAATAAGAAAACATAAACAAAGGAGAGAAGGGAAATAAAAGTATTCAACATAACTATACAAATTAACTATGGAAGGAAATTGTAATTTTAGTTCTTAGAGATTACCTTGTTCTCTAACGCTTTATGAAAGTTAAACAATTCTATCCCTATATATTTTTTCTCGGACATTATTCTGATTAGCTGAACTGGGTTCACGTAGATTTGGATAATGTTCTTTAAGATCTTATTCCGTTCCTCGTTAACAATAGTGCATTCAGATATGTAGTGGGTCTTCTATGCTTTCAGTTTTGTAGAATTTACAAATTACATCTTCCTTTTTAATTATCTGAATGTAACTTTATCTTAGTAAATTCGAAGTGATTCTTGTTTGGGTAATGTAACCTTTTATGTCTAATGATAGGTTCCAGGATAAAAAAAAAATTGTTCAAAGTTTTTTATTTATTTAAAATAAAAATAATATATATTCTATACTTTATATTATAATAACTACAACAGTAACTAAAACTAAACTACAACACTAATCAGAAAGAGAAAAGAACGATGCTATAGTAGAGAAGGAACTTTCCGAGGCGCCAGTATACGTGGGCGAAGTTGGTCTGTCAATCAGATGGAAGGTTTCATCTATGGGAGACAACGGAAGGTAAATATCGGTCAATCGACCTTGTCGGCTGCTGAGGAAATGTCCTTCATCAGGGGATGTGTCCTCGGCCGCTCCTCCTTGTCTTCATTCCGTCAGACTATTGACATTACGGTGGTATTTCAGTCGTTTTGTCTGAGCTAGAATGGACTTATAACGCTCTGTTTAGGTCTTCAGTACTTTTTGTTAGAGCTAAACTGGACTGTACTGGATTTACGGTAGTCGTCTATCAGTTTTGGTGGAGCTATAATGGACTATTTCCACTATTTGACCTGCTATGACCTTGTTTAGGTCTTCAAAACTTTCCGTTAGAGCTAGACTGGACTGTACTAGCTTTACGGTGGTCTTTCAGCCGTTTTGTCTGAGCTAGAATGTACTATATTCCCTGTTTGACCTTTGTTACGACCCTGTACTGTACTTTACTGGCAATACGGTGGTCTTCCAGCCGTTTTGTCTGAGATAGAATGGACTACAATCCCTGTATGACCTGTTATGACCCTATTTAGGTCTTCAGAACGTTCCAACGTTAGGCTGTTTTGGCATTGCGATCGTATTCAATCCGTTTTGTCTGAAGTTTTAATGGACTATATTCACTCTGCTATCACCTTCTGTTTAGCTTTCTATAATTTCCTTTATTGATAGACTGTACTGACAATACGGTGGACTTACAGCCGTTTTGTCTGAGATAGAATGTACTTATCACGCTCTGTTTAGGTCTTCAGTACTTTCTGTTAGAGCTAAACTAGACTGTACTGAATTTACGGTGGTGTTCATCCGTTGAGCTGGAGTTAGAATGTACTATATTCCCTGTTTGACCTGATATGACTCTGTTTAGGGGTCATTAGTAATTTCTGTTAGACCTATACTGAACTGTACTGGCAATACGGTAGTCTTACACCAGTTTTGTCTGAGCTAGAATGGACTACAATCCCTGTATAACCTGCTATTGTCCTTTTAAGTCTTCAGAATCTTCAGAACTTTCTGTTAGAGCTAAACTGGACTGTACTGGATTTACGGTGGTCTTCAGCCGTTGAGCTGGAGCTAGAATAGACTAT